AAGAATATTTAGTGAGAACTTTTTGTCATTAATATGAGTTATTATTTTTGTTATAAAATCCATTCAAGTACTTGGTAGTCAGAAAGTCTGGCAATTCTTGGCCAACATCGAATAGAGAGAGCACTTCCGACTTTAGGTCCACTCTAGTAATTTCATTTCAGTAGTTAATAGCTAAAATTACACCTATGCCTCGGGCATTGTAAATGACATGGTAATTGAACAATTTATTTTATCGAACTGTTTTTGCGAGATATTCTCTTCCTAATAAAATACCCTCTTTAACCCTCCGTCGGGCGCAATACTAAAGTTGCGAGTTCGGGCGCAATGCATCTACCAGATGCAATGTTTTGTTTACTGCAAATAAATGAAATAAAAATAGATTTTAAACAGGATTTAAAAAAAGACAAGAGTTTTATACAAGTATTTATTAAATTAACACGTCTTAGAATAAATAGACAAAAAACGAAACAAGAACAAATAATTATTAATATTAAAATATTAAAAAACAAAACTTAATCTTCTTTAACCACTTTATTACTATCACTAGCATCAAATTTCGAATGATATCAGTTCTCACATACGATTGTCGCGTGTTCCAAGCATAAATATTTGGCACAGTTCTGGCAAAAGTATTTCGAATACCTCCGTTTTTTATTTTCTAGACATGGTCCACAGGTTTTCCTTTTATTTGTTGAAGCTGCAGCTGAATTTTCATCTTGCAAGTCCCCAGTAGATTGATTTGTTTCAGGTTGGAGGGTATTCCCTGTTTTTTATTGCTCTTCGATTTAGATGTTTATCAACCAACTCCCTGCTAAGTTTTTTCAAAAAGTTGCTCCTTTTTTCTGTGGCAATTCCATTTCCTGTGAGCAAAACTTGAGAATTTATACCACTAATATTGAGCATGGTAAAAAATACAACTAATGGCCATCTTCTTGTATTTCTTTGCAAATTGAAAGTTGCACACATTTGGTCGACCCCTGCTTTTGTCTTATTATAATATGTTATTATGTTAGGTATTAAGTTATCACCTGTAGCCTCGTCAATAGAATCATCAAAATGCATACTGGATATCAATATTACGTTTTTCCCTTTTTTGGAACATAAGAAACAATCGTAGCATTTTTTTGAAATCCAAATAAACTAGACTTCTCTTTTCTGTTTTTTGTTGCAACAAATTCTAAGGGAAGCGCACCTAAATCTGACAGATTATTTTTAAAAATAAAGAACTATTATTTAAATTATGAATCCAAATATTGTACTTACATCTTACTGCAACCCACAACAATAGACAAAATACTCAAATTTAAATTTAAAGATTTATCGGGAACGGGCGCAATGCATCTGAGAGATTAAAGTTATTGTCACGCACGACGTATTATCACTTCGACGCCATAACTTCGACTGTCGATAGTTTACGGATAGACAGGAGGATACACGAACGGCAAGTCGGCGGGCGCAAATATAAGGGAAGATATTTTAAAATATATGGACAAAAATCTAATAGATTCATTGCGCCCGACGGAGGGTTAAACTTATTAGTAACATTCTTTAAACTTCCATAGAAGCCAAATTTAACAAACAGTTTTTTACCTATAGATAACTTTTGTTCTCAAACTTAAACTTTTCTTGTTCTTTAAAACAAACTTTCCCTGAATCGTTCCATACGATATGTACAAGTGGAGTCATCCAACCATAAAGTTTACTCATCTTAGAACCCCTTTAGATCAAACGGGTTAAAGTTTAGTGAACTGAACGAAATTTTTTTGTAATTTTGAAGTTGTCAAAAAAGGCTTTTCATCAAAAAATAAAGCTCTCATTAACCTTAATATTGTGTATTTTTAGTAGTGATGCAACGATAATTAATTTACGATTACGATAACGGTTACCAGACGAGCTACATATCTAGACCGGATTTAAAACAAAAATTACTATATAAAAAAAATTCACCTTGTCACAAACCTGTTTTTTAACTTATCTAGAAATACTTCAATAGGAATAAACTGTAATAATAATAATGTTATTAATGATATCTATAAAAAAATCTTAAAGTTTTAAGAAAAATATTTGGCGGAATGATATCCTCTAAACCTTTTTTAAATTTTGGCTTCAAAAAGTGTCCTGAAATTGTTAATAACGCGGAAATTAGTCAGTTACAGCAATACAAAGTAAAAAGAATACGTTGTGTCTCATAAAGTGATTTTGTGGTGTAATAATAAGGTAATTATTTGATTCCGTATTTTTATTTTGTTCCGAACCGTCCCTAATGATAATAGATAATGATAATTATTTTTGTTTAACAATAACTACGATTCTTTATTAACATTATGTTGTTTAAAATTTATACATAACATCAATATGAAATTCTGCCATTTATCTACAATTGATATCAAAACCATCGGACTTTTCCAGACCGTCCTTTTCTCGGCCATCCCTTTTTAAACGTACTGGTCTGAATAAGGTAAGGGACGGTCAGGAAAAGTAGTAATAATAATAATACACTGAAAAAACGCTAGCATATCATGAATGTGTGAGCCATTACCAATGGGATCTTGTAATCCGTATTCCTGAATAACAGTTCCTATTATACCAATAGGTAGTTAGCACTTGGTTTTTAATCGTTTACTGTTTTTAAATTAACAACAAAAGTTATCGCTTCTAAATCTATTGATATTTATATTGATATTTATTTGTTAGAATGTTAGAATGTTATTGCATTAAATACTAATTTGATTTATTTAATACTATGTATACATTTAACGCAATAAATTCTTTGACATTTAGGCAAAATATTTCCCTATTTTGGTTTAATAGTAATTAATTGAGCAAATAACAATTTCGATTGCTTCAATTTTAATGCATTCAATGACAGCGCTCATGAAAAGCATATGAAATTATATTAATTTAAATAATCGGGTAAATTTGATTCAAATATAAAAATTTGTAGTTTTATATTCATTAACCAACAGTTTTACAATGTTTTTAATCACTTTTAAAGTTTACCCTCTTTAAAATATATATACAAAAAGAAATCAATTTATTTCATTACCTTTCTCAACGTTGTTTCAAAAAGATATGTATTATACAATAATTGTTATACACCTACCTATTAGTTTAATGCTTAGAACAAAAAACAACAGGAAGGATACAATTATTGTTATACACCTATTAGTTTAATGCTTAGAACAAAAAACAACAGGAAGGAGTCTTGTCATTCTTTAGCCGTACTAAAATTGCGGCGGAAGTCGGCCATTTGCAAGCTCCAAATTATGACACATTTGTGATGCTATATTTGTCAAAGTTGAATGTTTTATGTGTTTGTCGGTGTTTTATGTTGTTTTTCTGGTTAAATTAACTTTAAATAAGCGTTTCATTGTTTCTAGACAATATTGTATTTGATATATTCTCGTTTAAGTGTAAATATTTAAAGTTTAAGATATAAATATTAGTGTTTAAGGTGTAAAAACAAATTATGGTTAGTTGTGCAGCTTGTGGTTGCTCCTTGAGCACAAAAAATTAAAAATATTCATTTACATTTCATAGGTGAGTATTTTGGTTAACGTTTAATTCATTTACTTATTGTATATTTTAAAATAATTAGTTGTAAATATTAAACATAAATCAATGTCAAATAACGTAACCTTAGAACATAACCATAACCTAAGAACGTAACCATCATAGAAAATACCATAGGCGTATCATATTTTCTGATACTAACCTAATTATTATAAAAATTAAACTTCAATTGTATTTACTACGCCACTGTCAAACGGAAACAACTATCCGCCATATTGAAGCTCCACTTTGGACCCAAGGTCATTTATTAAATGCTCCTTCCTGTTGTTTTTTGTTCTAAGGTTTAATCCTAGGGGTTTAATGGGACACACCAATGACGCCAAAACATATTTGAATCCCTTTGAATTATTATCGTTTTGAATGATTCTACAACATTTTTTCTCTCAGTATATGTTAGATTTTTTTCTGTATAATAATATAATCTTTATTTTAAAATTTGCACATACAAAATTAATTAAACAGTATATATACAAAAGGGAAACATGTCAGTGCTTTGATGACTTGATAAACTTTTAAATAAATTAAAATTGTGCTTCGCCATTTAGCTTACCATTTGAAGACAAGGTCTAGACTAAAAAAATAATTTCAACAAGGAAAAATGACAAATTTTATATTTAAAAAATTTTCGGCTTTTATACCACAAGAGCTTTAAATTTATCGGTTAATTTCCGATTTGTTGTTGCATAGTGACGGGAGAAGAGTGTCAAATTGACACGATTCGACGTCACTATGCAGGAATAAAGAGGCAATTAACCGATTTTAATTTAAAGCTCGAATGGTATTCATAAGATTATTTTAAAAGCTATATCTTCAAAAGGATGTATGGCTCTATGAAACTCTTTGTACAATTTTTCCTGTAGCAATTTTGCGGTAACATTCCACATTGTCTTAATTACTCCTTCTTTATAGTTTGTACCGTTTATTTTTTTTATATTAAATGCCCAATCCAGTAATATTTTAGCCAATTCACCTTCAGACGTGATTTCCAGAATTTGGTAATTTTTTAATTTACAAAACTCTTCAAATTGTCGCCATATGGATGCGTGGCTTTTCGTGGTATTAATTGGACGATTATCCTTCACCGCCTGGTTGATATCTTGTAACTGTACAGCCCCAAAGCGACTCATTTTGGAATGAAATTCAAGATATTCACTTAAACATCAAATCAATATTTTGACATATGTTAATTAATAAACTTAGCGACGAAACAATTAAAATCAACATGAAAAAATTATCGAATTATCGCTGTAATTCGCTGTAGGTTCCCTCAACAACAATGCCTCAACAATGTCCCAACAATACAGAGAAGTTCTCTGAAAGAACTGTCAAAAAAAATCGATCTAAATATTAAAACTATGGGAGAATTACCCAAATACATGGCAGGGTTGAAGTCATTCTCGTTTTCACTACGATGCCCTCAAGGCTAGTTGGGGAATGCCAAGAGACCCTAAGAGAAATAGCGGGAGACCACCAAGTCTCCCTGGTCCCCGTCCATATGGGGGTAAGGAAAAAAGGAGAGACTGGAGAAGCCACGCAAAGAAAGCCTGAAATCAGCACATACAAAACTCAGATGAAGCTGCTGGGGAGCAGAGACCATGGACCGAGAGACCCTCAAGGGCTGCACATAAACACAATTATGGGCTTCTGGAAGAAGACCGGTATTAGAAGGTGGAACTAGGATTCAATAGAGGAACGATATAGGAAAACACAGAGGGCTCAAAGAGCCTGTGTGACCCAGACAAGGACCATCAATTGGGGTCTCAGAAGCCTGTTAATAATAATAATAATAATCGTTTGGGCTGTAAAACTAATAAATCAAAAGTAAAATTAAATGGACCAGGTCCAATTTTAGGTCAAGTAACGCTTTAGGTTACATCATAAAGCTTAAAGCATAAAGCTTTATAATTGCTTTAATAAGGTTGTCACAGCTTTTATAAATCCTCCTCTGACACATTAAATTAGCGTTATAGATTAAAGGAACAATAATTATGGGAATGCCCTGCAATGTTTATAGTTATATAACACTATACTTTATGAATTTATTAAAATAAGTTTAATAGCGGGGAATTATTGGATATTCAAACTGTTCGCGTCTCTGGTAAAATAGCCCTACATTCTTCCACAATCCTTTGTTGGATTGGTCAATTGACCCCATAGAAAGAAATCAAGCGGTGTCAGATCTGGTGACCTAGGTGGCCATTCAATGGGTCCCCTCCTACCAATCCATTGCTCCGGATAATGATTAACCAATCACTCTCTTACTGGGCGTAAATAATGAGGAGGTGCTCCGTCCTGCTGAAAGTGTAGCAAATGTTCATCGAAAACAAGATTTCCATCGACGTCTATTTGATTTTCCACCTCATGAATTATAAGAGGCTCAATTCTTTTGTCTAACATTTCCGCATACAATTCACCATTTAAATTTCCATCTATGAACAAAGGACCAATGATAGTATCGCTTAATATGCCAGCCCAAACATTTATTTTTTGAGGATATTGTGTATGCCCCTCTCTAAAAATGTGAGGATTGAAGTCGCTCCAATAACGGCAGTTTTGTTTGTTCACCTTGCCATTTAAGTAGAAGGTGCACTCATCACTGAAAAAGATATTTTTTATAAACTGGGGTTTTGAAATAATCCTATTAGTCAAAATATCGCAAAACTCAACACATCTATAGATGACCCGGATATATCCGGGTCATCATCCCCTAATTCTTGAGTAATTTGTAGCTTGTATGGGTGAAATTTGTAAAGCTTCAATACTTTTCTGACTGATTCACGAGACAGTCCAGTTCGTTCTGCAGCTTGACGAAGCGACATAGTGGGAGCCATAGCAATTTGGCCAAGAACTTCAATCTGACCGATCTCATTGACCAATCTTGGCTCATTTCTCTTCTTATTGCAAACAGATCCAGTTTCTTCAAATTTAGCTACTAAATCTCAAATGTACTTGTGTCTAACATTTATTTCTGGATGTCGATCATTAAATATGACCGCCGTTCTTGCGAAGCAACGGTTTTCCACCCCATAAATAAAAATCATTTCAACGCGTTCTGCAATAGTGTTATCCATTTTAAGAAAAGGATAATAAAAACACCCAACTACTTACTATAGCTTATTTTTATTAATCGATCGATCGAAAATACGAACTTATCACTTCTAAATTATATCAGATATAACAAAATAAAAAAAATTCACAACAAATTTGTTTTTAATAAAAAAAAATTAAACAAAGGTAAGCATTTTAAACGTAGTTTCACACTAAATATTAAAATTAATGGCTGTGACGGCACAGTAAACTAAACCGTTTGAAAACTTGCATTATTTTAATTTATGAATTAAAATTAAATACATTCCATACATTCGTACTTCAATTTTGGTAAAAATAAATTAAAAAGAAATGTAACTTATCTAGAATTACCTAAGGATTTAAAAAATGGCGAAATAAATAGGGGTTGCTCTTTAAAATTTTAGGGGTAGGTGCTCTGGAAGTCATGGGGTTAAATGTAATACAACAACAAATACCTTAACAGTTGTCCCCCTTGATATGTAAATTGATGTGTTTTGCCAAATTTGTATAGTGTCATCAGTTAAAGAAAGTTTAATTAACTCATATTAGTTTGAGCTATTTTTTAGAATTATTTTAGCAAAGCATTTTTAAGTACACAAATATGGATAATGGAAAAAATGGTGGTCACACGCCTTTAAGAGCAGTATCCCCTGCATAAGGAATTAATAAAACATATTTATTTTATTAAAACCGAAAGAGTATTTCATAAAATCAATAGGCAGTTAACAAGGTAATCCCTAGAGTGTTTATTCTAATTTAAAGCAACATTTCTTTTCTGGAAACAAAGTGGTTTTATGAGGCAAGTAGTGCCGGCACCTCATAAGACTATAGGTTATAATTATAACCTATAATTTATTTTCTTATTCGGTCTCCCGCGCGCTTTATTTCATAGTGTTTTTACTTTTCTATAAAAGTTTCCTCTGCTTTTCACTTTAACCCACTCGTCGAATAATCATTAGATTAACCTGGATACGACACTACCTATAATAGCGGCAAATGATTTCGTAATTTGGTTTTAAATCTAAAATTCCTTTTAATGTATTGCCATCGAGACAGTATAATAAAACAGATTAAAGTATTAATACTAATTAGCTGTAAAAAGTACTACAGCACAAGCAAATAGTCTTAGGACAGTTTCCTCCAGAAATTTGGTTTTAACTGCTTTTATAAAACATACTTTTTAGGAACCCTTCAAACCAATATACTGCCATAATGCTAAATAGGCCTTAAGGGTGTCTTAACTAAATATGGTTTTATAAGGGTATAAATGATCCCATAATAAAGCAAATGGTTTTAAAAGTATGTTTTGTGGTGTCTACACTGAAAAAACAAATCTGTTTTATCAACCAATAAATTTTTTGTTGCAATTGTTTTTGTTGGTCCTAATAAAAAATTTGTTAACCCAAGTAAAGTGTTTAATACATTAGTATTTGCAACAAAAATGAATTTGTTGGAAATAATTAGTTTACCCTACTGACAATATGCGTCGCCGCTAATAGGTATCCTTAGTAAACATAACAAATATGTTTTTGTTGTCAATTTTCGCCCAAAATTGACATGATGTGACATTGAAATTTATTTTATAAAGTTGACCGACTTGGTGCCATGGTTAAAGTTAAGTCTTGGTGTCATAGTGATTGAATAATAAAAAAATAATTTGTCACTGTCAAAAATTTTTTGTGCAAATGCTAGAGGAAGCAGGTTCGCGTTAATTAATTTTTGTGCATTGGGCGTTATGGATGAAGGAGTAAACCAAATATTAACCGAGTGGGGATTTTCTTCATTAGAATAGTATATTAAAGTACAAGTTGCAGAAGGCCACATATTCTCGCACGAATTCGAAATTTGGCCTCGAGCGACGAAGGAGCGAGTGGACGAACGAATGAGTGCGAGAATAGCCTTCTGCAACGTGTGATTTATACTATTTTCTCGATTTTAACTTTTATTTAGGTTTTTTTAATTGGTTTGTGGTCGTTGTTAGTTGGGGGATTTTTCTCGCAAAATGTCAGTTGGCAACACAAAATGACAATATTTGTTATCCTGCACAAGTACAACCTGAACTGCACTTTTTCACATTAAACTTAAAATTTTGCATTAAAAGGCTTCATTTTCAATAAAAGTGTAGTTCCGGTTGCACTAGTGCAGGATAACAAACAAAGCTATTATAAATAATCCTAAAAGTAATGAATTTGAGGTTATTAAACAGTTTGACATTTTGGGGGTACCAATACTTAAAAACTAAATGTTACCAAAAATCGTTTAAGAATGAGCTTCATTCTTCAACGATTTTGCGTGCGAGAATATGACATTCTTACATAAAAATCGAGAATAGTATATTAAAGTACAAGTTGCAGAAGGCCACATATTCTCGCACGAATTCGAAATTTGGCCTCGAGCGACGAAGGAGCGAGTGGACGAACGAATGAGTGCGAGAATAGCCTTCTGCAACGTGTGATTTATACTATTTTCTCGATTTTAACTTTTATTTAGGTTTTTTTAATTGTTTTGTGGTCGTTGTTAGTTAGGGGATTTTTCTCGCAAAATGTCAGTTGGCAACACAAAATGACAATATTTGTTATCCTGCAAAAGTACAACCTGAACTGCACTTTTACACATTAAACTTAAAATTTTGCATTAAAATGCATTGTTGGAGCAAACTTTATATTACAAAACAATAATAAAGGCTTCATTTTCAATAAAAGTAATGAATTTGAGGTTATTAATCAGTTTGACATTTTGGGGGTACCAATACTTAAAAACTAAATGTTACCAAAAATCGTTTAAGAATGAGCTTCATTCTTCAACGATTTTGCGTGCGAGAATATGACATTCTTACATAAAAATCGAGAAAATACTTTTAAAGGTACCAAAATAATTTTTGTTAAAAAAAATCAAACAATATTAACCTATACCTACACAATATTGTTAATGCAACTCTTTTTATTAATTGGTATTACATACTGAAAGAGGTGCTTTAACAATATTGTGTAGGCATAGGTTAATATTGTTTAAGTTCTTTTAACGAAAATTATTTTTTGGTGATTAAAAGAACTACCAAATGTTATAACAAAGCAACAATGTTGTAGTTACTCATTACCATAGCTTTTCCAACAAATAGATTTATAATGAAAACAAATGCAAAAAGTTATAGAAACAAATAAATTATTACCTAAAACAAATGTAAACTGTTTTAACAACAAAATATTATTGTATGATATATCAATAATATTAGTTACTTTAAACAAGACGCCATAGTTTTGTCAACAAAAAATATTAGTTACAGTAACATATTATGTCTCAACAAAAAAAATTTGTTGTTGTAACAAAGATTTTAGTTGAGGCTATAGCTACAAATAAAATTTGTTGGCGCAACTTTTTTTTAGTTGCTTAAACAAATTATTTTTTTCAGTGTATTAAAGCTTTTTATTAAAGTAATACAGTTCTAAGTACAATTAACCTTTGTGATAACTCCTATAAACCCAAACATAAACAAAGAGTGTGATAAAGCTTTGATATAATATTTAGGTAAAAGCCAAGAGTCACATTTGTTACTTGGGCGTTGAGAGTTAAAATACAACTCGTAGACCAAAAAGATCCTTTTACATTACA